AAAACATGTCTTTCCGGAGACGTTGATTATTTTTACCCTTTTGTCCCTATTTACTCGTATTTTCCTTGAATCCTTTAAATGTATACGATTTTGCTTCAAAGCGCGATGGGCACGAATTATATGTTATCCACATCAAATAATGGTTCTGTGTTCGAAAACAAGTCTTTCCGGAGACGTTGATTATTTTTTCCCTTTTGCCCCTATTTACTCGTATTTTCCTTGACTTCTTTCAATCTATACGATTTTTTGCTTCAAAACGCGATGGGGCTAGAAATATATGTTATCCACATCAAATAATGGTGTCGTGTTCGAAAACATGTCTTTCCGTAGACGTTGATTATTTTTTCCTTTTTGTCCCTATTTACTAGTACTTTCCTTGACTTCTTTAAATGTATACGATTTTGCTTCAAAACGCGATTGAGTCGAAATATATGTTATCCACATCAAATAACGGTTCCGTGTTCGAAAACAAGTCTTTCCGGAGACGCTGAGTATTTTTCCCTTTTAATCCTATTTACTCGTATTTTCCTTGACTTCTTTAAATGTATACGGTTTTGCTTCAAAACGCGATGGGGCACGAAATATATGTTATCTATATTAAATAATGGTGTCGTGTTCGAAAACAAGTCTTTCCGGAGACGATTATTTTTTCCCTTTTGTCCCTATTTACTCGTATTTTCCTTGAATCCTTTAAATGTATACAATTTTGCTTCAAAACGCGATGGGGCACGAATTATATGTTATCCACATCAAATAATGGTTCAATGTTCGAAAACAAGTCTTTCCGGAGACGGTTATTTTTTCCCTTTTAACCCTTTTTACTCATATTTTCCTTCACTTCTTTAAATGTATACGATTTTGCTTCAAATTGCGATTGATATGAGATACTATATACTGGACCGGTTCGCAGGGCTAATCAGAGAAAGATAGGCCGGTTCGTCGGACTACCTAAGTAAGAATGGGTCAAATGATATGGTCGAGCGAGATCACACACCTGCCGCGGAGGACAGAGAAGATAGCAGTGACTAAGGAGACCAGAAGTGGTCGACAGATAAAAGCCATTCGAGAAGCTGGTCGAGGAAGGGCGATCGAGGAGGGCGTGGACGTGTAGAACTGGTCGAATGTCGGAGTGCAAAAGGGAATCTCCAGCACGTAAAGGAGAGGACACGCGGCAGACTATGAGTGGTTAATAGCCATAACAAACTCTGACATTGTCTGACAAAGGGGACGCGTTTCCTGACACCAAAGATAGTGGAGGCGCGCGGTTGTACGGAAGAGCAGAGGACAGTTGGCCGAACTCGCCCTGCTCGCGCGTGCAGCTCAGGTAACTCGCCCTTATAAATAGGGGCGAGAATCCTCATTTTCGGTACAATCTCTTATACTCTCACATATTTCACTGATATACTTTCTCTCTCAAGATCTGACTTGAGCGTTAGAGGCTCTTC